CGAAAGCGTAACCTACCTGGGCGTGGAATGGGTCCTAAACCCAATAGTCCACACGGACATAGATGTGCCCACCCTCCTAGCCTCCGTCGGCGGTGACGCCTACCCAGATCGCCGCGACCAACTCATTCAAATACTCGATATAGACCTCAACTGGCACATGCACGCAGTCTCAGATGGGGAACGCCGCCGTGTGCAACTTGCCATGGGTCTTTTGCGGCCCTGGACCCTCCTCTTACTGGATGAAATCACGGCGGATCTGGATCTGTTGAGCCGGAGTGAGTTTCTGGGATTTCTGAAGCGGGAGACGGAGGAGAGGGAGTGTACGATTGTGTATGCTACGCATATCTTGGATAATCTTGCCAGGTGGCCGACGCACTTGGTACACATGCATTTAGGCCGGGTGAGAGATTGGGGTCCCGTTGAGAAATTTCAGGTGGGCAGGCTGGCTTCGCCGTCGGAGGATAGTCGGTTGGGGGAGGTGGTGTTGGAGTGGTTGAAGAGAGATTTGAGGGAGCGAGGACCGCGCCCAGGTCTACCAGGAGAGGGAAAGAAGATCGCGGTTGAATTGTGAATTTGCAGCATAGAGGACATGTGCATTGCACTTCTTCATTACATTTATGTGTCATGGCGCATACCATGTTTTATTTGCATTCGGAACGTTTTGCGGAGCGAGTTCAACCACCATCAGTTCATGATATGATGATCATATATTTGGGGTTTTGGGTTCTGATAACCGGTGAGGCGTTTTTCTACAGCTTTATCAAGCGGGCCTCAACGCCAAAGGATAGACGCAAAAGATTCATATTCTTCATATCTCTATAGTGTATTTTGCGGGTACAGTACATACAACACATTCATTTATTCATATATTTACCCCAACATGTCCCCTTTGACTATGGCCACAGATCCGAAATCCGAATCACCCTCACAGAACTATCCTCACTCGCAAGAGCAAGCTCGTATACTTCATTCACTTCTTTTCCTTCCACACCAACCGGCCTCCATGCCACCTGTGTGATTGCTTTCGACGGACACTCTAACGCTGGCAATGCCATCACCTCCTGAGCCTCCCCAAGCCCATCAATCGCTAATGCATGTACGCTAATCCGCCCTGTGTCCAAACCAACGGCAAGATAAATCCGATCTCCACCAATAACCATCGGTAGAATATCAATAGCCGTGACGGGACTGGGAAGCGAAATGGTAGCTTTACACGTAAAAGATCCTCTCTGATCCTGATCCTGTTCCTGCATCCACAATTTCACAGTCTTATCCCGCCCCGCCGTCGCGAATGCCCTAGGTACACTCCTCTCCATAATTGGCGCCCAACTTGCACTCAAAATCATCCTTGCATGAGCTCGCGGGTTTGCACACAACAATCTAAAAACATCTCTCTTCCCATCCCCACTGCCTTCCCGCCTCCAAACCGCCCACTGCCTATCCCTTCCCACGCTAACAAGAAACCTATCATCCGCCGAAAACCTCAAACAAGTAACGGTCAATGAATGTGCCGCCAACGGTGGCTTGATCTCATGCCATGTCGTCGCCGCCGCGTCATACAAGCGTATCACGGCATGGTCCAGCGAGCTGGCCTTGCAAGCTGAGGCGATGAGTGTGCCGTCGTGGCTAGTAGCCACAGCAGATATTTCGTAGCCGTGGCCATAGAGCTTTTCGTGCTCCGGCCAAAGTGTGTATTTTGAGAGATGGTCTTCGAGAGGTGGGTGGGGGAGGTGAAGGGCAGAGGTTTCTGTGCTTGGTTTTGGGTCTGAGTGGGATTGGATAACGTCTCCTTCTCCGTCGTCACCGAGATCTACGTCGTCGTCAGCGGCTTTGTTGGAGAGGCCGAGGACTGGTATGTTGGCGGCGTCAGGCATGTCGGCTGGCTTCGCTCCGCCGGTGAAGCCGGTTAGCCTCTCGAGGAGGTTTGCGATTGCCTTCGTCTGGTTGAAGACTCGAAGCAGCTTTTCATCAGCGCCGGAAACGAAGCGCCATGGCCCCAATGAAGCGATGCAGTTGAGATCATAGCCATGGATCTGCGGGCGGGAAAATTCATGCCAAGAGTAACAACCGCCATCTTTATCACCATGCTTCCATCTCGAATGTAGCCTCGTAGTCTGATCTGAACTAGTCGAGAACAGGTATCCCCCATCCGTGGGCTCCCATTCAATTCCATTAACTGACCGTACATGGCCGGTAACAGCGATATTCTGTACCCACAAATCCATTTCGTTCTCATATCGCCAAAGCCGCCAGGAACCTGTGCGGCCTAGGCTGACCACCTTCTCACCAAGGGGCGACCAGAGGCCAATCCAGAATCCACCGATGCTACCTGTGGCAGTCGTAGATCCCTTCTGAGCGCTGATCTCACCCATCCGTGCGGCAGAGTACCAGACACCAGATACCGGGTCAGACTCCCAGATAACGAGCGAGTTATCCGCTGAGGCAGAGAGGAGTTTTGGGTTTTTAGGGTCTGAGTTCCACGCGACAGTGTATATCCAGTCCTCGTGGCCGAAAAGGAGAGCTTCAAATGTAATCGAATACTTCGACCCGCTCGCCTCGAATTCATGCGCTTTGTTAGAAAGAGTCTGTTCCAGGTTCCGTGCCGATATTGCCCCTTCATCATCATCTCCATTTCGAGCCGGGGCAACATCATCGCCTGCATGAATGCGCCAGAGACGAATGTATTTATCCTGACTGGCAGACGCAAGAAATAAATCAGGCAATTGCGATTGACTCTTCCCAGCATCAATCTCCGTAAAAGCGAGAGACCTCACCCATGCTTCATGGCCCGTAAGGCTAGCTTTAAGTTCGAACTGATGTCCCTCAGCCTCTGTATCGCCTCTCCCTTCCTGCAGAACATATATATGTATGGTGGTCCTCGTCCCACCCACAGCCAGGACTACAGATGGCGCAGATTCAGCATCCTTCTTCTCCCCCCCTTTTTTCCCATCAAGCACCCTTAATGCAAGCGCCAGCGCGAAGAATCTCGGCCTCAGCGTGATCGTCTGTATCAACTGGCAGTCTATTGTAGGAGCAGCAGCACCAGCATCATCATCAGTGTTCCCTTTAATCTCTCTAAGTCTCCACACCCGCACTGTCCCATCCGCCGCACCGGATACAAACAATTCAGACCCGCAGGTGACGGCGATACAATTTATCGAGCCTTCGTGGCCGTGGACAGTTGCAACTTGAGAAAATGAGGGTCGCGTAGAGGTTATAATAGACTTATCGTCCCCCCGCCGCCATACCCTTATCGTCCGATCTGTAGAGCCAGTGAGGAGAAAGTGAGACGAGCCACAATCTGAAGATTGAAGTGTGTAAAATTTGACCGCGTTGACTTCATCGGTATGGCCGGTCAATAGTTCATATACCCCTGTTTGATATTTATCCTATTCGCGCACCAAAAGGAAAAAAGTTAATCACCAGAATATCTACTACATTATTATATTCATTGCGAATGACTCAAGTAGCGGGTAGTAAGCGCATACAGTAGGATCCCAGAGGGCAACATTGTTATTAGCACCGAAAGCAAGGATGCCCGTGTGTTTGTCCCAGTCTGCGGCACTGGGATGTCTGTTGCCGCCGACGGAGATGTATTCGGTGCGGGCGGTGAGGGTTGAGGGGGCCATGGCACTGCCAGCTGGATATTGGCTGCCTAGCAAATGATGATTTACTACTTATATTTCCATGTGTTTGTTGATTAGCTATTGTAGTTCGTTTGACTGGGTTGGGCGTTGCGAATTTCGCAAGCCTTCTTGCTGATAAGATAAGATTTTCCAAAAAAAAAAAATATTGATTTTCCCCGCAGCGAACACTCCAACCATCACATATTTACACCAACATCAACGAATAATTCTACCACCTTAAGACCTATATTTACCTTAAGATTTCTCATAGATATACTCCTCAAATACATCAAAGCCATGGGCTCCATAGCCAGCCCGTCTCTCTCTTCTTCCTCCCAGCTCCTCACCATCACCGTTGAATTCACGTACGTTTCTACCCACGTCTCGCTCTCCCCACCCACAAGCTAACCCCTACCCATACCGTGATCCTCGTACAGCGGCGGCCTGGAAGCCATCTTCAATAATACACGGAAACACACTCTCTCCATTCCCGCCACATACCCGTCCCCCTCGACCGGAGAGCCTGAGCCGACTTCCGTAGCCTCCCTAGTCCACTACCTGATAGAAAATGTCATGGAGGATAAACGGCAGGAATTATTTGTGGTTGACGGGGCTGTGTAAGTTGGTTATCGGGTGCAGGCGTCAGGGTTGTCATTGATATTGGGACTTTTGCTAATGTATTGGCGGGATCAAATTCCCTATATATATGCCAACTTAGACGACCCGGAATCCTCGTCCTGATAAACGATGCCGACTGGGAATTAGAAGGGGAGGAGAAGTATCAGATTCAGCAGGGGGATAATATATTATTCGTTTCTACGTTGCACGGCGGGTAGCGAGCGAGGTAATTTATATCAATTTGTTGGAGTAAGAGGAGGGAATTGCTATGTTTTGTTTATTCCTATTTTATAATCCAATCCAATCCAAATGAAACGAAACGAAACGACGGAGGGTTGGATAGTCGTTGAAACTGTCCAAGCACGAAAGAAGAGAAGAGAAGGAATATCCAGGTCAGACATCAGACTTCAGGCATGAGGCATCAGGCATAAAACAAAAGCGTGGAAAAGCCGACCACAATATAGGTCGACATATGTCATAACTCAATGACTTTCATCATAACAAAAGAAGGACACTCATATCAACAAGCTCTAAACTCTAAACAACATCCTCCGCATGATGTTGCAAAATCTTCTCTCCGTCTCGCGACGGCCTAAACCCAGCTGATGGAGTGGCTCCACGCGGGATGCCCAGCCCTGCGGTTCCGAGACCACTACCTTCAGCACCACCGCCATCGACTGTACTATTCCTATTTTCGCATCCATCTAACCAGCCAGGCATCGGTGATACAACTCCACTCGGTGGAACAGGGATTTTGATACCCTCTGGTGACGCGGGGATAATCTCTGGCGGGAGATCAGGAATATGAATTCGGTTTGCCTTGTTGTTGTAGCTTGCTGGGATGATCTATATTTAACATTTAGATGGTACTCGTATAGAAATATTTGTTTATAGTATTGTCAGAATGGTTTAGAAAAGGAGCAAGTTGTTGCACATACCTCAATAATCTCATCGCGCGGAAATGACAGAAACGGAATGTCGGCCGCATTACACGCCATCAGATATCCATATAACACACGCAAGACACTCTCATGCGCAATGATGAGCAGGTCATTCCGCTCCCGTTCAAGTTCGAGAATAATCGGCTCAAGACGCACTGCGAGGTCATGGTACGACTCGGCCCGCGGGTACCGATGATGATATGGATCCAGCTCATGCTTCGCAACTTCGTCAGGATATTCCATCCGAATTCTCCTCTCGGACATCTTCTCACAAACACCCGGGTTCAACTGGCTCATTTGTGACCGATGGCGTACTTTGTAGCCCAGTTTGAGCAGGAATTGAGCAGTCTCCACTGTCCGGCGCCGAGTGGATGTCCACACCATAAGTGGTTTCAACTCCGCATCGGTATCATCACCATCCTGGTTAATAATCTGCGCCTGCCTCTCTGATTCGCGATGCTGCAGCAGTCGCTCCGTCATTTTACGCGCGTAGTCCAGGCCTTGTTCGGAGAGGGGTGCGTCTGCTTTGTAGGAGTCTGGGTCCCGGGAGGTTCCAGCCTGAATAGTTTTCCATGTCAATCAAATTTATATTTCAGGAGAAAAAAGGGGTTTAACGCTTACCCGCACGAAGTACGTATGCCGTGATTTGATGTGTAAATTGAGAAGGTAGAAAACGATCCGATGGTGCAAATAGCCGAATGTGCGGTTATTGATCATCATGCGCTCGCCGGCGTTAATCATCTATTTTGTGTCAATTTGATCCTCATTTTCCCGTATAGAAAACATATTAAGAGGTGGGTGGAAAAGAGAGGGTAGTGTAATTGCCAACCTTGATATAATTTAGTTCCGGTTCATTCATAGTTTGAAACTGCGGTATCCGTGCCGAGATTCGCGCCAGATAGTCTTTCACAGCATCCTTCGGGTCCCAGCCGACGTACTGTCGTTGGGAAGAAAACTCAGCAAACTACACCAGGTGAAGCATGGGAACATGTAATGACGCTACCACATACGTCCGGAGAAGATATCTTAACACTTAGCACATTTTCTTCGATTATTCTCTCATCATCACACAGCGATTCAATGAATAGTGTCTAAAATTCAAGTGGATGTTAGTAAGGCTGTTCATCCGACAGGAGATGGATGGTGGCTTTTCAGGAACTTACGTCAATATCGTGCTTGGCGAATTCCTTAGCTAGCGATCGACGACCAGCAGCAATTGGATTCACAGCGTCGTAAATGGCAATCTGGCCATTTTCGTGCTTTAGAAAATGATAAATGTCTTCTCTACACTTTTTCACGATTTTTTGCCTGAGGAGGACGGACGAGGCGGATGCTGTGGAGTTTACATTGGTCAAAAAGGCCTATTTAGTGGCTGGGGTGATTAAAAAGGGGGGTGTAAAACCAGGAATCAAAAGGACAGTCCATAGATATGGAGAGGCATCAAAACAGTGATAGTTCCGCGTCAACTCACCGTTGACAAAAAAGTAATCATCCGGAACATCCTGACCAGGCCCAACAGTTGCTCGTCGATAGTCCCCTAGATGGAAAATCCGCGTCTTCACACCGAGCCTATATATGTATTAAAACCCACCATAATCTAAACTGATCCAGAAATAAATATGGATGTAAATACTAACCATCTCAGGTACCTCGCAAGAGCAACAGATATGTGTCTGTGGCCAAATTGTGATCAGTCAGCCCACTGGTATCCTTGAGAATCAACAAAAATAAAAAGGAAGAAGAAGGGAGGTAAACAGCGACAAACGTTTTACCCCTAGCTGGCAAGCCAACTGTGATTATTACTATACGCCCAGAGTGGAAGAGTCGACCGGACTCTGTGCTGTAGAGCTGAGCGGGGGCAAGCTCGCCCTTCTCTGGTAGATCATGGATGGCGTCGACATAGGTGCTAGACTTTTTCCGGAAGAGGGGAGAGGCTGCCACCACGTCTGCTGTTCTAATTAGCTAGTTAGAGAGTAGTAATTATAGAGCTAGTCGTGAAGAGGTACGTTAAGATAAATCATAGCTGTAGGGGATCTTACAGGAGTGTGTCCATGCTTGAAGCAGTGCGTATCCCGAGCTGATCAGGGGGAAGGGGAGAGGGCCTTGATCACTAATATCTGATAAAATATGCCTAAAGGCTGCAGCGGATGAAAAGTATATATATCTGGGTATATGTCATTTGATGGGATTTAAAGCAGGGTCCCAGAGAGGGTAGTATATAGTGGTGAGTGAGCTTCAAAGAGGAGTAGTAACGAAAGTGTCCTTTATCTGCAGACGAGAACAACAACCAACGATAGCGACATTGCCGACAGACGCAGCAGACGCAACGTAGATTGGCTTCCCTGCCCGTCTACCCTTCTGTCTATATCTCGATTTCTTGTGTGTGTGTACTGCCTTAGATCATGGGATGAAGTTGATCCGGATGAAGAATGAGGAATGCCAAGCTTGATATGCTGATAATTTGGCGCTAGTTCAAAACCGTCCTAGCGTATCAAAATGCTCAATAATTTCCTGTCTAAGAACCTACAAAAAAGATCGATATCAACATCCTCCGTGTAAAGGTCTTTACATCTGCGAATAGCTTCATTGCTGCGGGCTGCCTTTACCACTGAGACACTCATATACATTCTGCCTCACACCCTCCTGTCTATTGTAGAGGCGGCCCTCGGATTCCCTCTCTTTTTTATCTGAAATTGAACCCTTCTTTTGATACCCATCAAAATGTCCGATGCCCTTGCTTTTCTCTCGGACAATCCTGTGACTGCCGCCCTCAAAGATGCATATAGCTCATTCTCCGCCCGGAGGCAAGCATTAGGTTTGCCCAATCCAGGAACCGTAGAAAATGTCGCCAGAGAAGTTCAGAAGGATGTCCTCCTATCCAACTTTATGTTCACAGGCCTCCGCGCCGACCTGACAAAAGCCTTTGGCATGTCTCCTCTCTTCCGCGTTTCCCACGCCTTCACAATGGGTTCGCAGCAAGGAACCCTTCCTCCATATACTTTTTCTTCTATGTTTGGATCCCCTAAGGTACGTACTGTGCATATTCCCAGTACTTTCCACAGTTGCGTGTCGTATCGGAGTTCATATCTAACCGTGGAAAAAAAGGTCTTCTTGCAAGGAAACCTCGGCAATGATGGAGCTCTTGCTGCCGTAGCCAACTACAGATGGAATTCCGCATGGGTTACAAAAACGAACACGCAGATAATGCCAGGAAGTACGCAAGGCTTGATGCAAATCGATAACGACTACACCGGCTCAGACTTCTCCGCTTCCCTTAAAGCCTTCAACCCATCGTACCTAGAAGGCGGACTTACCGGAATATTTGTCGGAAGCTATCTCCAATCTGTCACACCAAACCTGGCATTGGGACTCGAAGCAATATGGCAGCGACACGGCCTTGGTGTCTCGCCGGAAACCGCCGTGTCCTATTGTGCTAAGTACAAGGGCGATGATTGGATTGCCAGTGCCCAGCTTCAAGCCCAGGGCACCATCAGTGCCTCGTACTGGAAGAAGTTGTCTGAAAAGGTCGAGACTGGTGTTGATATGACCCTGAACTTCGCCCCCAATCCCTCGGGACTCATGGGTGACACCCGCAAGGAGGGCACCGCGACCGTCGGTGCCAAATACGAATTCAGAGCATCCACCTTCCGAGCTCAGGTTGATAGTTCTGGCAAGCTGAGTTGCCTCTTGGAAAAGCGCGTCGCCATGCCTATCTCTCTCACTTTTGCCGGAGAGATTGATCAAGTCAAGGTATGTTTCCTACGCGCCATGTAAAATAGAAACGGAAGTGAAAGAGAATATTCCAGCTAACAGAACCCCTTACCCAATCAACAGCAACAAGCCAAGCTTGGCCTCGCCGTCTCCTTCGAAATGGCCTCGGAAGAGCTGGCGGAACAGCAAGAATCCCTCGAGATGCCCAATGTTCCCTCTCCGCCATTCTAAGCTTGCAAACTCCTATGCATCCCTGCAATTGCGTCAAATGGATGGCAAAGATACTGGACGACAAAAGCAAAACAGGAAAACTATATCCCAATTGCAACCCTCGACAGTCTCACCAACGACACCAACCCCAGCCTCACTTTTACCCACTACCAACCACCGAACCACCCTTCACACCTCTCACCACCATACCAACCCTCTCCTTCCAATCCCGTGTTTTAGTAGCTCTATATTATCTTCGCTCTTCGTCCCGTGAACACCATTTCTCATCTCTCATCCATATCTAGACCTATGTACGTCTACCCATCCTTCCTGAAACCATTAGCAGCACGTGGGTGACTGGCGCAGAGATGAAATCCTCCCGCTGTCAAAACATCTGATGATCGAGACCTTTGTTTTCCTCCGCTTCCTTGTTTCCTTTTTGTTATTTTTCCTTATCGTGTATATCCGAGATGGCTTGAATTAGCCTTTCCCTGGGGACGGTGGATTAGGGACTAGGGCAAACAAAATAAAGAGGACATATAATCCATTTCAAAATTTTCATTTCCATCTGTTCACTCTGACATTATATATATATATATATATGATATACACCTATTTCTCACTTCCCCTTTTTTCCCCTATTCGTTTTGGATTTTTCTTTCGTCAGCTGGTATCCTCCCCCCCCTTTCCCGTGTTTAGCTTCGCCTCCGTGCGTACGTTAATGTATTTCTCACTTTTTGTGTTTGGGACATGTGCATCAAGCATCCGGTTTATTCTCATGATTCTTCTTCGTTCTGTCTTCGCTCTTGCCAGGCCACGTAGTTCTCTATTTTCCCATCATTTCCCATCACCTCCACATACATATTCCTTGATGCACATTGATCCCTTATGTCAACGGCCGGGGTTCCGTCTGAGTTTTTGAAAGAGTCCAAGTTTTGAACCACTCCCCCTTTCCCTGCTGTGGGTTCCTACTGACAGCCGACGCGGAAAACGATCTCATGCACAACATATCGGCTTCGTGGAACAAAAGAAATCTATCATCCCCCAATGCATTTTCCTTTTTTGCCCTCATTTGCATTGTGGTTCTATACGGAAGATACGATGAGGCGCTTGGCGCGGGAAACGAAATGAGCAAGAACCTGTTTATGACATGTACAGATACTATTAACTTACCCACCCCTCAAAAATTTAGGCAAAGGGAAATAACCAAGACAAAAAAAAGAATGACTAGCACTGAGAATCGTGGATCCAGTTTCGTAATAAATAAGGGTGCTTCAACAATCGATGTTCTCGCGTAGATCTATGCACTTGATAACTGAGCTTTCATTCGCTGTAGGCGAGTCCAATAACCAACCCACCTTCGACGGGCAAACTGACCTATATCTCCCGTCTTGTTTCTACGAGGAAGTACCAGATATATACCATGGGAATGAGCAAAATCAACACACTGGGTGGAGAGGCCTCAGGCTCTTTGCAACAGGTATTAAGTTGCCAACCACATACCGCCATCATATATAAACCAACATAGCACCAAACGAAACCACGAATTCCACTACCTACGGGCGGCATGGCATCAATACTCCCCAAACGCAAAATAAAAGAAGAAACTCTCAAGCCGTAGTAAGAATATATGGGTAGGGAAGTACAAAAAAAACTACGAAAGGAAAAAAAGGAAAAGATTCCTAGGGCTGGATTTTTATTCACTTAACTAACAGCCGATATCCCTTCATTTGTTCCCCTTTGTGCTGTATATTTATTGCCGTCTGAAGTCAGTCAACTGAATTGCAATGTTACATTTTCCTCCGTCTTCATGACTTGGGGTGTATATATATAGAACTTCCCAGCTGCAACCAACCCGTTTCATGATATATATATTTGCATTTGTATATATCAGACTTGTCGAACCTGTGCTGTAACTGGCACAATATATGTGCATGGGGAGAACATTTAGGTTACTTCTCTATATATGTGACTTTATATTAATCATATGTCCATTTGTGAAAGAGAGGGGGGAGGGGGAGGTTAAAAAAAAAATAAAAATAAAAAAATAAAGAAAATATAATATAACATAATTAGACGAAAACTGAGAGACGCTCGTCGAATCCAAGCGTCTCCATTTTCCTCACTTAAAGATAACCGGAATATGCAACCTCTAAACTATAGCTACTGCATGCATCCAGAAAGGCCATTTAAGCATACCAGCCTCCTAGCAATATCCCATGCACAGACGCGCAGCCCCCTTATCGATAGGCTTCCAGGCAATCCGTGAGCTCGGGCAGAATTATTTCAATTGGGACCTGACGTGCATGCATGCATGCAATCTGCATCCTACATATTCTCGTCTCGGAATTGGAAGGAATAGGAGTAAGGAAATAGATGGGGAAATATGGGAGGTGAAAGGAGAGGACCGAATAATGGGGGTTGGTAGGGCGAAGAGGTGGAGGAAATGTCCAGGCAAAATTCAAACGCAAGCCCAGGGGTAGTATCGCATTTCAATTCATTTAGTGACTCTGGCTGGGCGGAGGACCAATAAAGTTGAAATGAAAGCGAATAAATAAGAGGGGAGGGATCAGAAGTTGGTATCCAGGGGGTACTAGATTATATCATGCCCTTCCCCCGTCCCGATCCAAAAAAAAAAAAAAAAAAAAAAAAAAAAAAAAAAAAAAAAAGGTGGTGTGAATTCCCGCTGATATGTTTGCTCGCAATATTGTCATATAAAGTCATTGAATGATACGAGTTTATTCTCTAAACGGGACGTCTAGGTAGGGAAGCAGAAAGCAGAGAGATACAGAAAGTAAGAAAGCAAATGGGGAGGTTTGTCTGGAATCCTGTTTTATCTCCGAAGAATGTTGCCCGCGTCGAGCTATAGGTTGGATTTAAAATCCGACCTATATATATACCTGAAGCATGAAATTTATACGGAATAGGGGGTTGATATGACGATGACGGTGACGATGGATGATGGTAAGAACGATGACGGAAGTGGTGATTGATTGGCCGGGATGGACGAGTAATTTTTATTTTCCCTTGGCGATCGCTTGGTTCTCTCAATCTGCCAGTACGTATGTTATTTTATGCTGTGAGCCAACCACTGCCTGAGTGGCAGTACAGCATGATGGAGATAAGCCAGTTACGTTGCATCTGGAGCTGCCACTACCAATTAGATAGGGGAAAAGGATCGATAGCGGCGGGCGGGCTGCATGATAATATAACTGTAGACGTGTCAGAATATAACTACACCAAGTGTTCGGAGAGGAATAAGGAACCGTCGTTTCTGCATGCTATTGCTGTTTTAATTTGCTCAGTTCTCCTTCTTAGACATGACGTAGATCTCGGCAGTTGTTTCATTTAGGGATGCATTCCTGTTCATCCTGAATGGAGTAAATCTGCTTTAAGGCGGGCAGGAGAACTTTGGCTGGTATGATGAATGGCTTTCAGGGTTTAGTCGAATGATCGAATAGCTCACCAACCTCATCAAACCCTCTATATCTACATCTCATCAATCATCAGTCCATATATTCTGAATATCCCATACATAACTACCTACCTAGAGCAGAAGATACACATACCTTTCCCAGTTTTATATCCTGCACTCCGCTGGGGCTCCCAAAGCCTCAGGACAACAGAGGTGACCCTCGGCTTGCCGCCAACCACTCAGAATTGTCCGTTCATTCCTTCCCATGCGCGTCAAGTGCCCAAGTGCCTTTCTTCGGCCATTTCATTGACAACAGCCACCAATCCCAAGTTCCCAACGCACATATCGGCATGGGCGGGGGCCGGCCCCTTATCACTTGCATTAATTATCGATGCCATACTTCATGGTATCTTCAGCTGTTGCTCCACTCAGCGCCAGGGCCACTCAGCAACATGAAAAGGGGCCAAAAGGGGGTCAAGGGGAGAGGGTCCCGATAATGTCAACAACGAGGACTATTTTGTTATGCCCAGATGTAATGAATGGATGAACATCTTAATATGACTCACGAACCTGTACCTGCACAAAGGACTTCATGGGAAACAACGTTTCTTTCTTTCTTTCTTTCTTTCTTTCTTTCTTTCTTTTCCTTTCTTTAGTTTTCGAGGATTTTGAAACAGCTAAAGATGTGTGAATGATTCCATTTGTGTCAAATTACACACAGAAAAGAAGAAAAAGAATTGATACAAGGGCAAGGATTTCGATCCCTGAGCCAGAATGGCAACAGGAATTTGCCTGATACCATGATAAGATATCATCTATTCTATGATTCTGGTCTCTGGTTGTATAGTATGCTCTTGAAAAAAAGATGAGGAAGAAAAATGCGCAAAATACAAAGAAAAATAAAATTACGCGTTTTGAAACGCTGCAAAAACATAAATACCGCACAAAACAGCATCACTCGAGTCCAGTAACTCGTACTATGTATGAATATATGCAGGTTAGTTAACTCCGATCCTCGGCATATATATCATCAGCCAGAACTTCAACAGCAAGAATACCAGAATGCCAGCTACAAGCCTCTCCTGTCTCCTCTGCTCATCACTCCTGGAAAAGAACTGGAAGGGGAACGTTGGAGTGAGGTCATCTGCGTTGTCCTTCAAAGCCGGGATTTTCATGCCTGAGTGCATGGGGACAGCTCTTTCAGCCCCCTTGTCCTCCCCAAGGAACTAGCCGAACAGCTGCAGTAGCTAGACGGATAAGTTAGGGGTCTAGGGAAGAGCAAGCGGGGCAGAAGAGGGACAGTCGCAGCAAGGCTTTTCTAGCGATCTTGGTGGGAACGTTAGGAACTGGTGTGTCAGTGACGTTTTTTTTTTGTTGCAACCTGGTGGACACCATGGCAGCTTTCGCTTCCTGATGGCTACAACCAATTTTTTGCAGGCATCTATTACTAGTAATCAGTGTGGGCATTATTAATAAGTTAAATTCCGTAGTTATACCAGTATGGGTTTTCCAAAACAGATACATCCATGAATATAGAAGTTCCAAGTTAACGAACGGCCTTCGATCCATCAAAAACTGAAAGTGTATTATTATCTTGGTACAGGTGTGGAACATGGTGGTCCCATGAATCCCAGTCTCCACCCCAAGACCTGTAACTAAAGCTTAGATGGTTGAAGCACGGCTTCTCATCTGTTCCCAATTTCTCCCTCAATCCTCTCAATTGAAAACCAGACAGAGCTCTCAGGGGCAAACAAGTGAAATCCCAGCATGGGAAAATGGTGGAGTGCTAGATTAATATATACATAGTAGCAATAATACAAAAAACGAACCGTCATCGTCATCGTCATCGCTGTTCCCTCTGCCCGTCAGCAGCAGCATCAAGCTGCCCAAGCTGAGCTGCATAACCCGGCCCAAAGCAACCTTGGAAATCAGCCAACCAATTATCTATCTGCCCCTGTCGCCAGTCTCCCCATTTTATCGAGGCACACACCGTTTGCATAAATGACAATCAGTGACAATAGTACGGAGGTTCATCTCAAAAGTTCTTACCCGCCAAGGCACCCGCCAAGGCACTATATAACACCACCAACTTGAATTTCCCCCAAGTCTGCTTCATCATACTCCGTAGTAGAGATGATATTTTCATTTCTCATTAAATTACTTGTCAAGATGACTTCTAATACTGATATATATGCTCTGATCAAGTAATTCTTCAGACCTTAATTCTATAGAATCTTGCTGACTCTGAATGAAGCACAAAATCGCACAAGAGATGTATTGTGTTATATTGCAGCAGGCAGTTGCAGTGTACTATGTATAGATGATGAGATGAATGATCACACCTGCTGTGGGCTGAGTCACATCACTGTACCCACAGATATAGATATCACTATAAGTACAATCATTTAAGAAATGATTATGTTGATATTTTGCTATGAATAATCTGATGATCATGGATTCATGATGCTTGCTTATAGATTATCACAGCATCAAAGAGTCAGACAGAAGAAATTAAGATGTGAAAGCAGTATTGACAAAATCTTTCACAGAAGATGATACAAGCATGAATAGAGTGGATTCATACTCATATTCAAAAGATTATAGAGCTAGAAGATGAAAATGAATATAAAGAAGTATAATTGTATTATTTTGTATCTAGATTGTATGATAGAGAACACTTACTATATTCAAATTAGACTTTTGTGGTGTTTTTAGTATGAGAAAGAACTTTTGAGATGGTCCTCCGTAATAATTTTTCTTTATTACTAGTAGTACCATTATGAAGTTATGTCTGTTCCAGCCTGGTTGACTTGCTCTTCCCATTTTTCGATCTGATTCAAATGCAATCAATTCAATTGTGTATCCTGTTAAAAGAATAATAGTAGTAATAATACTAATGCCTTGATTGTTTCACCCACTAACAAAAGCCTTTTTTTTGTGGTTGTTTTTCTTTTCGCATCAGCAGATCAGTGAGACCATCATCATCCGCCCCAAGAGTTGTTTTAGGCACAGCAGCGATGCTTTGCTCCTGGGGTGAGGTAACTGGCTGAGCTGGGCTGGGACTGAGATGACGGGCATATTTCGCCGCCCCGGTTCAAGCTAAAAAAAAAAAAAACCCAGTTCCTTGTCACCAGAGACTTCATCGTATTTTATTGGCCGGTTGGGTTTTTGATGGGAAGCACTAAACGAACTGTTCCTGTGACCGCGCAGGGTATTCTCCTCTTCGTTTGCACTGCGTACGTGGTGGAATAATGGGTGGGTGGAGCTAGCTGGCTTTGATGGAGTCGTTCGTCGGCGTTTGATTTTTTGGATTTGAAACAAAATAAAAAGTTCCCACAGAGAAGGGGGCGCAATTGCACAGCGAACCCAAGAATCTCGAGCTAACCTGCCTCAAGATCATTCATTAGTTGGTTATTTGAGAGACCAATAAATAATTAAACACCATCATCACCACCATCACAACCACCATCACAATCAGTACTAGTATTCTTGTGTGGGCTGTAACACGTTCTTTGCTTCTGTGTGCTGTATTGTGTCGGGAAATACGCCTGTGTTTTTCTAGTAGAAGTCGTAACCACTCCCAAAGACAGGATATACCTTGAAATTGCAATATGGCCATGTCCACCTCCCCCTCCTCCTCTGTTGACTTTCCAATCATCTCTCCTCACAACAAGGGCCAGGACAAGACAAAAGTGAAACTAATTGGATTTCTTTGGGGTTGGTTACGCCGATAAACGGGGCTGCACCACACCACACCAGTCAGTATATTGTCCTTCCATCCTGTTCGTGCCCATCGCCCGAATTCTTGACGGGTCAACAACGTCGTAGTCTACCCAAAGGGGCAACGCGCTAACCACAAGGAACCCCCATTCAAAATTAGTGGGGTTGGATTTTCGGATCGCTGCGCTTAGCGGGTGACATGAAGAACTACTCTCTGTCCAACAGGTGGTTAGTAGTTGTACAGGAGCAGGAATATTACAACCTATGTGCAGTACGTTGATTCTAGCTTTCAGCTTCCACTTATTCTGCTGCGTAGAGGAGTGACAGTGTGTGGGCCACCCTGGTTATTTCTCGTTAGTGGCACACTAATCATAGTTAGTGTCCTGTTATTCAGAATACTGGGTGTAACCCATATGGCTATAACTTTGTGTTTGAAGACATGATTTTCATTCCGAAGTAGGAATTTTCATAACTAAATATTATATGCTCAGAGTAGGAGATTTATAAAACAGATGGATAACAAGTAAGAATGAGTTGCTATCTTTAGCTTTTAAATATTCAAGAAGAGAGCTTATCCGATTGGACCAAAAGTTTCTTAAATTCTTCTTTCAGAATGCTAATATGACTCAAAGGGTCTTTTGTAGTATCATGAAAATGTTGTCAGAACATTTATCTATCCCCTTTCTTTCTTTCTTTCTGTCTTTTGGATTCTGTCAATTAGTAGGCAGGATTCAGCTCTTCTTCTATTTTGTAAGTAACTTGTATTTTCGTATACTAGTCATCGATTGATCGATTGGTGGTTGGGTCTATACTTTGAAAATATTCTCAGAATAAAAGTTGATAACAATTTTAATGAATGCATAACGCTCGCTAAAATGCCACGTGAGCTTACCTACAATGAACTAGTAATTACTAACCTTCCAAATAAAATTCAAACACAAAAACTAACTTGTTGACCCACATCATCAACTCCCTTTCATTCTTATACATACAGAGAATGGATGATATATGAAGAACAGACTTTGAAATATCTATTACATTGGCCTCTTTATTCCTGGGGGCGTGTTTCTTTTTTCTATTTCCTTTACCTGCCAAACAAAACATTAAAAAAAATACGGTATAGAATAGTTTGTCTCTGGCTTCTATTACGGTGCGAGCTGAAGCTGTGTTGAAGAATTGTACCTCAACCCAGCTCCATCTTAGTAAAATAAATATCCTAAATTCTATTCCATCTCGATATCCGAGAAACCTACGATCTCGGGTATAATGGAAAATTTTTTCAACAACCGCAATAAAATCAAGGAGGAGGGTCCGCGGAGGGTTCACCACAAAAGGAAGTGTTAGTACCTGGTTGTTCTTGCTCTCAGCTCACATTCAACCGCCTATCAATTTACTGACAATTGCCATTCGGGAATTGGTCATAGAAAAGACAAAATCGGCAGTTCCATCGCCAACAGAATAAGTCATCACGGCATAAAATATAGGAACAGCATTCATCAGAACTTGGAGGATCATGCCGCCGGTTCCTAAGGCCATCCATGATCCGTCCAAATAAGGTGAGCTGTTCCTCCTCACTCTGCTGAAGGTGCATTTCTATAGTCTTATTTGTAACGAAGAGAGGGAGCAAGTGTTCTCTGGTGCATAGAGCTGACTGTCCGAGACATTGTGACCATCAACGCCACTCCTCCAAGTGCTTCCGCGCATCTGGGTCGTAATGATCGAGGGCAGTTTTCATGAGCTGTGCATTCGTCAGCCTTGCAGCGTCAACCACAGCGCCATCTAGACCGAAGGAGCGTATAACTCCGTCATCGGCAACATGTTTATATCCGCCAGGGGCACTCTTCAAGCGGCCGATAATGTCGTGCACACTCTATGTCTAGGCACATATCCAATGTCAACTTTAGCTTGATGAGTTCCCCTAGAGGAAGTATTTAAGTCTTCGGAACTGAGAACTGAGAATGGGAACTACCTTAGCAAGCTCAAACTCAGTACCCTGATTTCAAACAGAAAGGTACTGATATGTCAGAATTGCTTCTCACCCACATCGCTTTGAGAAGAACACAGTTACATAACTTACTCCCGTTCTTGTCCACCCAGCAACAACACCAAGAAGAGCAAACGAATGCGAAAATCGAAGCTTCATAGCTGAAGATTAGAAAAATGGATTGAAGCAGATAAAAATCTTCCCCGGGCCCCCTCCCTCCAAAATTAAAACGAACAGATAATAAGAAGAAAGCGCAAATATAAAACCGTGCCAAGCGCCCTCCTTACTCCCGTTCGTGAGTGCGCCACTATTTTGAGGATGCTGAACTTTAAAAATTATAATCAATCACCACGCATCTATATACCCACTAGAAGCTGTACAATCTGCCACAAACTGAGATGTGATAGAATTATTATTAAACCTTATATTTTTTATCAGATATTTATTTTAAATTTATAAACTTCTACTTCAATCTACTGATCAATGAAATTTTAAAGATGAAGAATAAGAATAATTTGAAATATTTTTTATTACAGTGATATATTTTGACTGATAAGGTACACTAATGGGAGTTAGTAAAGAATTGACTACCCAAGGCCCAAGGAATCGTTATATCAATTATATCAACAAATCGAAATTATTCAATTCTCGAATTCTCCAATTTTCTGTCCTTGAGCTGCGACCAAGGATCCACCCGCCGCCCCCCAAAATGTCTTGGCATGACTGCGAGCCGTGGTCGCTGGCGTTTTGTGGGTATGTTGGCCTCACCTGACCGACACTGCGCGCCACCGAGCCAATCCGTCCAGGCAGGTCGCGGGAAGTTCCAACGGCACCAATAGCTACCACTTCGGGACAAGGGCTCAGGCATTATCCGCGTGACATCGAGGACGTACCAGGGAAGAGAAACCTTCCAAGGTTGGAAATGAAGGGAGAAATGCGAGGTGGGTGAGATGGGGAGGGACGGCAAGCAGCGCGAATAACGGGATACGAAACCGAGCAACATTGAACAATCTCAACAACCAGTTTTGAAAACTTTTGCGCAATCGTTTTCGGCAGTGTATATGTATTATTGAATATGAGATATTGCATTCATCTCATAGAATTGTAGAATTGCTGGTGGCGAATGGATAAAAATCATTCAAGACAAGAGCAAAAAAAAGAAGAAGAGGGAAAAAAAAGCAACCACTCGGGTACCTTGTATGTAAATAACCTGTAACTAGCATGCCAATAGTCATTTGGAGAAATGCTCATTGGCACAATCCACAGCAACAGGCGAGAAACGACAACACAAGCGACACTGCCGCTGCTGCTGCTGCTCAACACTCACAGCAGGACGATAGATAGGGACGACGATTGGCATTAATAGAGAGGAGAAGAAGACGAAGAGTAAGCAGGACAACCGAAATTCTGCCTGGGAATTCGCCTCCTCCCTCCTCCCTCCTCCCTCTCCGTCTCCCTCTCCGCCTCCTCCGGTTGCTGTGGGCTGGCTGGCAACTCCCTCGTCCTGCCCCGTGCTGTTTGTTCCTTGTCCTTGTCCAGCTCCTTTATTCTGTCAGTTTGTTTGTTTGTTTAGTAGCAGAGTCTCCTCCTCCTCTTCCTGCCGCCGCCGCCGCTGTTGCTACTGCCGTTGTTGCTGCTGTGTCTGTGTCTGCTTCTTCCATTTCTTACTTCCTGACTTGGGTTGGGTTGTCTTGGTCCCGTGTGTCCGCACTCCCTCCATCAACGTCACTCTGGCACAACTAACCAACCACCAGCAACATCACCGCCAACCTCTCCTCCCTCTTCACTCCTCCATCACCAGCCGCATTCACCACCTGCACCACAACCACTCACCACAATACTCATCATCACCACACTCCTCTACTCCTCTACTCCTCTACTCCTCTACTCCTCTACTCCTCTACTCCTCTACTCCTCTACTCCTCTACTCCTCTACTCCTCTACTCCTCTTCTCCTCCTGTCCTCCTCTTAAACCATTTCTCCCTAACCTCTTCCGCTTCCCCTCCACTCGTACTCCTCCTCCACTTCGTCCTCCTATACATACCACCCACCTCGTCCCGCTTCCCTAGCAACCATACTACCTACATATACGCTGTGCCTATTTGCGATCCTCTATACCCCTCACTGTAACTGCAGTGACTGCCGCTCCACCCTTGATCATTGTCCTGTTTTCACACTTGCTCGCTTGTGAACACACACACAAACAATTCACACATCATTCATTCAAGTATTCAGTCATTCACTCATTCAATCTACTTATCCTCTCACACATCACTCTTCAATCTGGCTCACTTCCTTCTCTTCTTCTTTCCTCTGCCACTTGTGTTCATTCTACAGGTGCAGATCTCCACAGTCCACTTTAAAGAAAACCACATACTAGCTCTTAGTTAAGCTTTG